TTCAGCGAATTCTACCTAATGGAGAACTCTGGCACAACCCACAGCAGAGACCTGGGGCACCAGGTCACACCTCTGCTGGTGTGAAGCTAGTCTGGCCCATCCTCAGGAAAACACACTTTGCTTCACGTGTGAAGCCAGCCAGGCTCCCCTGCTGTTAATCCCCCTTCCATTTCAAAGGAGCAGCAGTCAGTTACAACAAAAATCACACCTTTGAAAAAGAAAGAGTGGAGCACTACTGGCAGAACAACAAAAGACATCCTACTTGTATCGTATTCAGACACTTGGGCTGGGCTGCAGCCTATTTCTAAAGCACTGGGGAACGTTTTTGTAACGTCTCTTGCTACAAACAAATTAAAAAAAAATAGAGATGTTCATTAAAAATAGCAGTCTGTAATATGAGATACAGGGTTTGGTAGAAGGCAAACCTTGTCTACAAAATAATTAACATTATGGTAGGTGAAGCTGCTCTAGGAGACAGAGACCTACCTCTGTGATAGCTCGTCTTACAGCACTCCAGTGGGAATCTGTTCTGGAAGAAAAATAACGTGGGTTTTATACTATATCAGCCTCGCGTGGACAAAATTTAAACACTAAATGTTGGTTTGTTTTCAGAGGGCAGCAGCTTAATAACCATATCTGTCTGAGATACTAATAACGGCGTATTTCCCGCCACTACGACTAATTGCTAGACGGTCTCACGAGCTGGAATATAACTAGAGGCACGACCCGGTCATTCTGTGATTTTATGAGGGGGAGAAACAAAAAAGGCAAACTCCCCAACAAGCCCCCTCAAGTAAAAGTGCGTCCGCAAACTTAAAAAAAACACAAGTGACTGCTGTACTGGAAAGAAAAATGCAAAGAACCAAATACCCTTGTGAGGTGCTCTCCCTGTAAGAATTGTGCTGCCAGCTTTAAGGAGGAGGAAGAATAAAATTTTACTTAACTGCTTTCACATCACTCCACTGACCTTTTTCTGATTTCAGTTCCATCTGCTGTTTCATCCACCATTTCTACGTGTTCTTCACTTTCCTCTTGGCTTTCGCCTTCTTCATCACGGACCTGTAATTCAGATTCAAAAATGGCAAAGCGCTTGATTTCCCCACAGCTCTGTTCTTAAAGACGCTTTCTCCAACCACAGCACACGTTAACAGCAGTGCACTGCAGGTGCAGAACGCTGCCCTCAGTCCTACGGCTGCAGCAAGGGATTGGAGTATTCCCATGGGGAATGCATTTGCACAAGGGGCTCTTTACAAAGAGAAATCCATCAGCATCGTGAAGTAAAAAGATAGCTACTGCAGTGTGAAAAGCTCTGTTCCACAGGGTAAAGGTTGGACTAACCGGCCTCGATCCGAACTGCGTACCACACTTTAATGTTCACCACAATTGCATGCTGTGTGAATGTATGTATGTGTATAAATACACAAACTAACGCGTAAGCAACTCTAAAAATTGGGGAAAAAAAATGAAGCTTTAAAATCCACTTTTTAAGAGTTTTTTTTTCGTGTCAAATTACAAAATACTCCCAACATTTACATGGACTCAGGTCTCGTGTAAATGACGGAAAGCACAAACTAGTCGCTAGCAGCTTGGAGTCTTCAGGGTTGACCTTTAGTGATTATGGTTCTCGTATTCACAGAACAACTCCGCACTTGTGTCCCACCTTCCTGAGGCACAAAATCACTGCTTTCGCTAGCACTCCCCGCAGACGTGCTTGCAAACACCGTGTTATTCCCAGACAACTGGCAAGACGCTGCTGCCTGCCCCCAGCGTAAGCACTCTGATGCGTTTTGTGCAGCTACATCATCGTTAACATATAGGTCAAATAACAGAGGTGAGCCCAGAAAAAGGTTGCAGCACACTCACCGTGAGATAGGTCCTAGGAACGAGGCCTCTCTCCCCTTTGGAATTTTCGGCTACCCACCAGCCATCTGCCTTCTTGTCATGTATAAGTAGGACTTCACCTTTCTTTGCCGTTAGAAGGAGAGACGGAGACAAAAGACAACCAAATATGTCAAAACGGCTCCAGACACAATTAAAAAAAACACATAAAAGCTTGATTTTTCCCCACAACGGAGATCCCAGACTACCCCAACAGCTCCTGCCACTACAGAAGGTGACAGAAGGACACTGGGCTTCACCGAGCCCAGTGTACATCAGGAAAAGCCGTTTCTCTGTGAATCCCACAGGGAACTGGTCGAATCCCAGAAGCATAGCGTTTAATTAGTTATTGCTTCCTACAGAGCATCTGCAGGCAAAACACTTTTACGGAGACGTATTTACCGTAAACGTGAGATCCCCTTCCTGCTGCGCGCTGAAGTTTCCAACCGCGATACATTCTTTAACGTTCGGATCATCCAATAGTTTATCTTGGTCCTCATCAGTTTCTTCACTGTCTTCCTCCTCACTACTTTCTTCATCTTCGCTCTCCTCCTCTTCTTCATTCTCATCTTCTGTTTGAGCACCTTTCCCATGTTCCTCGTCCCTGCCCAAAACACATCAACCTTGGGTTTTCTAAGAACATGGGCTTCTCTGCAAGGGCATCACCCAGATACAGAATTTTCATTCCTGTGTTTTACTCTCCGTGATTCCAGAATCCCACTGGTGTTTCCCCCTTAAGCGTACAGACCGCAGTGCATCCTCTCGACAGCCACGTTACATTTCAGCCATCCACCAACACCCTCAAAAAATCTTCCCTCTTGACTGCACCAAGAAAACAAGCCCCATAAGCACTGGCTCCTCAGTACTTCTTTTTTAACTACATTAAGATAAGAAAGAGGATGAGCTAACGATTTTTCAGGATCCTTTCCAACAACACATGTACAATTCCATAAAAGTACAGACTGTATTTGTTCAAGCTACTTACACTGCAAAATTCGTAGTCAGATTATCCTGATCCAAGACAAGACGAAGTTTCTGCAGCTGCTGAGAGAGTTTTAGCAACAGCTTTTCTTCTTCTTCTTTCCTCTGGTTGTAATTCCCCACAGGCGCAGGCTCATCAGCCTGAGAAAGATAAACACAACAAATTGCTCAAAGCAGCAAAGTTACAAGCTCCCCTAGAAAATCACCTTTCCAGACACATCTTACAAGCTTTCGCCTTCCTGGGCTGCTGTCACTCCCTATCTAGTGCCATCTTCCCTGCCCTTTTACTCTGCCAAGATGAAATTTTGCACTGAATTTCAAATCTGCGTTCCCCACTTCCCATACACTGTGTTGATAAACGTTTTATAATGTCCTGGGTTGATAAAGATTTTAAGCACAGAACTCGTGCACCATAAAGCATTAAAAATGTGCCTGTAAACAATATAAATGGATCTCGGAGATCCCACTCTGGGATTGTGCGGTGCTAGGCATTACTCTTGAGGCATCAGAGGAGGCTGGCGTTCTCTCACCGCGATGTATTTTGGAGAAAGTCATTAACAAATTTGTCCCCATACTTACTTTTTTCAAATTATGAAGAGCGTTTGTATTCTCATCCACCAATTTCTTCAGCTGCACGCATCTGCAGAGAGATATTTCTTATAATTCTGTTAGGTGGGTGACCCAAACCCCGCATACTTGCTGAAATGTGTGAATTTAGATACTCCTCCTTCACCCAGCTGCGCGTGCCTGCAGCCTGACCAACACCCACAGGAGTCCAAAAAGCAGCCAGACTGATTACAACCTGTGATGTGCAAATTCCCACTTAAAACTACCTCAGCCCTTGGGAAGCCCCTACCCTATCGCTCTGCCTGGAAAACAGATGAGGGGCAGGGAAGAGATCTGTACAATTAGGAGAAAAATGGGAAGTTGTACAGGGAAGCGCCTGCTCCTGATGCAAAGGTGATGGGGAGCAGAGGGAGTCAGCCAGCGGCTTTGCTCAGCGCAACCAGGAGATGGTTCTTTCCACAACACCGAGCTATGCTCCCGGCCTCGGAGCGCTGCTCAGGAGGGGATAAAGGCTGAGGGCAGGGCACGGCCTCCGTCTCCTCGCGCCGGAGCGCTCTGCCGTGCTCCCTAGGGAGAGAAGGGGCCGGGCGGTGGGAGCGAGGCCGAGGACCCCTCGGCCATGGCCTCACCTCTGCGATAGGGCCTTCCGCTGCCCAGGGGCCGGGGCCGCGCTCTC